AAACTAATACAGCTTTCAGCTAAAACTGTTTTTAAGTCCAGGCTTGTTATCATCAAAGCTACCAAATAATGTTTAACGAATGCAAAATTTGGGGGCACATGGTTTTTCTCAGCCTGCATACGGGCTCAGTTGGACTGTTACACAGAAGCTGGATAATCCGATTTCTGGTGACTCAGATACCACGATGCTTGCTAAGGTGATTTCAGGTGTCTCTGTGTTTAAAAGAGTAAGAGAAGTCACGGTAAACCCTCCCCTCTGTAGCCCCCAACTGTGACCACCCCCTCCCAGATCTAAGCCCTGCTAAGCCCTGAATGAATCGGTCTGGACTGGCTTGGTTGGGCTGTCTGACCCTCTGCTAATGAGAGCAGGACCATCTGTTGCTCAGCCAATAATACATGCGACTCTGAAAGCATCACGTGTGCAAAACAAAGTAACACAAACACACCAAAGTGCAGCAGCCAACAAACCAAAACGACAGCAGCGTGCTGTTTCCACTTGTTTTTTATGCACTTCCCCGTAGCAACAAAAACACACTCCTTGCATTTCATTTCTGCTGCTCAGATTAATTCTGAGCATTATTATGCACATCCTCGGGTTTTTTCATAGGAAATGAAACTGCAGGAGATGCACAAAAAGCAAACATTAGCTGCTCCGAGGCACAGAAACGGCGCATTCACGTCACCGGTGATACTATACCATTGACCGAAATGTAGCAATATGTTTACTCTGCCAGAGAGCGAACACTGTGAAAACCATGGTTCCTTAGCATATAGTTTTCATGTTATTTATTATCCACTGTAAGGTCAGCACAGTTATTGCAGTCAGTAATCTGCTGGTATAAAATCTGTGAGTGCTGGCCAATCATATTAGAGCTGGAAACCAACAACCCCCAGCTTTACTAAAACTGGGCACACACACACACACACACAATGCCAGCTTGATCCCAGTCACGGGTCCTGCTAATGCTGCATGTCCTGCCTGAGCGGGAAAAGGAGTAGAGAATTTTGTGTGTGTTTAACACACACACACACACACACGCCAGGTATTCAGATCTTGTGGGGACATCTAATTGACGTAATTTTCTTAGCCCCTTGCCTTAAACCTAACAATGAAAAATTAATTCCTGACCTTAACCCTAAATCTAACTGTAACCCAATTGTAACCCTGTCACTAAAACCACATTTTGAGTCTCAAAAATGTTTTCAAACTCATAGGGACCAGGATTTTGGTCCCAACAAGTATAGTAAGCTTCCAATTTTTGGTCCCCACATACATATGAATACACACACACACACACACACACACACACACACACACACACACAC